TTTTTTGGTGAAATCTATGTCTTTTAGTCTCAAAACTACGTATTGTGGTCTTTCTTTTATGCATTGCGTTATGGCAATTTGTGAAAAATCCGTACGTGATGGAGAAAAATGGATATCATTTTCGGATTCAGCATACAGGAATTACTGTAGAACATGTAAAAATTTCAAGACAATAAAACCATCACAGGCCTATGTTATTAAAATAAGAATTTCTATAATTTTCTTAAACTGAATTTCGTCTAATGCAAAATGTTGTACACCTTATGAGATTTAAAGATCACTGAACCCTTTTGCCTCAAAATTAACTATAAACAGCATACATTTCAAAGTGATAATCATATACAGCTACTAAATGAACTAATCAAAGCCAGTTCAGGAATATAATTTTCTACAGCTTTACTTTACCTGCTGAATCTCCCTTTGAATTAGGTCAGGTTTTGTCTTGTAATAGAAAGAATAACATTTTTATAGATTAAGAAATAACCAATAGATAGATCATATGACTATTATAGCAGAATTGTAACAACGGTATGTTCTGTGTGGAATACACTTAAAATTAAAGTTCTTATAATTACCTAGAGACAATAAAAAGAATGCAATCCATAAACAGAATATACCATTTACCCCTTCTTCTTTTTAATTAAATTAAAAAAGTTAACTGCTCATAGGTAAATCACTTGAAATATAAGTAAACTTGTGGAAATAATTAATGTTACAAGTGCCTCAATAGCTAAACTCTTAAGTAACCAGAATATTAAACCTCATTCCTTTACCAAGTGTACAGACTTGTTTTATGCTTGATCACCACCAAAATAATTCAGGCACTAATCTAAGTTCAAAATCTAACTATTGTTTTCTAGCATTTAAAAAAACAAATTCCAGTATATTTCTAAAAAATTCTCTATAATCTTATAAGTACTTTAAACCACCGATTGACATGATTTTCTATATACATATACAAGATCATGACCTACATCTCCATAATGTAACTTTATTAGCACAGTATTTCGCTATCACAACTTCATGAGGTTCTATCAATATCCTAAAAGTTCACTAATCCAGTTAAATAGGCCTTGATTTTATTTATATTTATAGAAATGTTTCACAATAAACTACAATTTGAGTTAAACAAAGTCAAAACAATGATTTTTTATGTTTTTTCAATTAAAACCTGCATTGTTTTTTAAATGCAAATGTGCCCAGACATAATTAAGAAGACTGATACAGAATCAAGGTAAGTTTCCACCTGATGTTTACCAAGGGATGTCTGATATTTTTGTCTACAACTTAAATCCATAAATCTTTATTTCTTATCTAATTCATTTCATTGAAGGTTTATTTGAAACTCCAAAACTATGTTAGATATATAGAAGAAATCATTGTTTGAAATGAATTTAATATTGCTACAAACATCATATTAAAAAATAAAACACACTAATCAACTAATACTAAATCCAAGTTTATGCCGACGATAAATGCAACAACAGATACACAGTTTTCCAAATTTGCATCAAAAAAGGTTCATGCACTTCAAAAATACAGCCCAATAGTAAAGCCTATATTAAACTGAATGATATATTAGCCTTTTACTTAGATACACATTTTCTACTTATAAATGTGTTATAGAATTGAGAACGTAAAACTAATTATAATGAATGTTTAAAAAGAAACAAAAAATGTAAAAGTTACATTTGCTTGCGCTTCCATAGATTTGGCTTTGCGTAGTCTATTCTTGCAGGCATCCAAGTCAAGTCTCTTAGATTCTAATATTCTTCTTTCTTTCTAAGAAAAGACATTGAATTCAGCTCAAATAATTTGAATGACAACACATTCCACTCTTTTCATGGAATTATAAAACATGAAACTTAAGACCTTTAAATTCTATAATCCTTTTCTTTTAAAGAAAATAAATTAAGGTTATGTTATATTACTATGGTATAACAGTTTAGAATATTCAAATTTATTTCAATAACCCTTTACCAGACAAAATGTGTGATGCCAAATTTTGAAATAATATTTGCAACGTATCCCCACAAATTTCCTCCAAAATAAAATTATAACTGAAACATTGAGATTTAAAATAACTAAAAAGACACAACTTTTCAATAGATAAAACAAAGCAAGAAATGCGTAGACGTTCAACAACTTTGAAACTTGTTTTTAGTTCAAATGATTTAAAAACATTATTTATTCCACACAATTATGTGAAAATTTCTACGAAAGTTAACATTTTCCAAAATTGAAAATGTATTTCAGGTAGATACTTACCTCCCCTCACAAAATAGTTTTTCTCAATTAGTACTGTCCTCTATTGGTGCAAAATTTCAATGCTCACCGTAGCCTTCCACCTCTCACTTCTGCATATCCACGTGCAAGTGATAATGCAGCAGCTCTCCACCAATAGGAGCAGGACACAACCCCTATTGGAACCAGTGCCCTCTCCACATTTGCACTCATTAATCACTTTGAGATTGGTCAGAAGACCTACACGACATATCAACAAAAGTAGGGAGGCTGGGTAGAAAATGTGAGAGGAGATAAGTATTTATCTGAAAATGCTAACTTCTGATACAATATCTTACCTCCGCTCACAAAATAGCTAGAATCCCACACTGAACTGCTGAAGGTCCAGTGAAAAAATTATCCCCCTTTAGGAAGCACTCAAAGAGAGACCATGAGGTGTGGAAAATATATATATATATATATATATATATATCACACCTCAGTGGGAGACAGCACCACATCTGGTCCAAGTATATTCACCACTTTTTTATGACTATGTCACAAACATAAAAGATAAAAAAACATGAAGGATTCCCATACTATGAATTACCAACTAACGGAACCCCTGTGAGTGTTGAGTGGCTAGAGTGCAACAAGATCGTAGTGGTAGTTCCATCTCATCCAACACTTGGCAGAATCTGAAATTGTACAACAGTTTTGCAGTAGGCAGAAGATCACCAATCTTTTCACCTCAAAACAAAAATTGGTGGGGAAAATTCCATACCAAAATCCATCTTCACTTGCATGTATTTCCAACCCAACCAACACCTGATCCACCACGAACTGACATCCAGTGACAGTAGGAAGGAGGATGACATCTCCAGTCTAAAACCTGGCAGCATTGGGTATGGTTCTTCCAGGCTATGGTAGGAGGAAGATACCTGGTTTTACCAAGTGGGAATACATGTGCTGCATCCAGATACAACCAATGCCAGATCTGTCAGGAACCCCAGCAGATGGTAGGAAGAGGGACCACAAACCTGGGGTGCATCTCCAATCGAAAACCTGGTGGTATTGGGCATTTTTCATCCAGTCTGTGGTAGGAGGAGGGATACTGGCCAGAACACATATGAGGACTTAGCAGGATCATCTCCAACAAACACCTGACCCCCGGAACTACATCTGGAAGATGGCAGGTAGGAGGAGCATCTGAGCCTGAGGGGTGAACTGCGATATATATATATATATATATATATAGATAGATATAGATAGAT